GGACCATACCTATATAAGGCATATTTATACTTTTTTTTTTTCAAAATACCAAACAGATCATGCATTTTAGCCATGCCTCATTTCGCTCAATTTGAAAAATGTTAGCTCTGTTTTAGCAAGGGCAGATTCAGTGAGAACAGCACCACCTACAGGCCTGGCATATGTACTACAGCGTCTCCAGCGCTTTCGAACGGCAATGGCCGTGGCTGTCTCCTCCTGATTGGTGGAGTTGGCCCAATAGCCGTAGCGCCACCGTCCTGACGTCAGGACAGTGTTCAAATCTGGATCAGTTTTTATCAGATCCGTTGCAGCCCCTTTTTTAGAGATTTGGGTCTGGAGGAAAATAGAGAGGGTTGTGTTTTCTGACACTTGGTGAGTTCCCTGGAACACCGGGGACACATATTCATGTATACAAGACATACAAAAGTGCATTTTGCATGATAGGTCCCCTTTAATATAAAGTGTTACTAAAACGTATTAAAATGACAGGATATATAAAAATGAAAACAACAGATATGGAGATTATGTTACGTTGAATGAATAATAAACTGGATGTTTTTAAACACTGATAATTATATAAAAGTGGATATTGTTAAAAGATCTTTCCATATAATGATATAGTAAATGTTGAGGTTTTTACTAACACTTTGTATCCATTATTTTTAGCTACAGTTTGGACAATTTGCATAATATTTTATAAAGCACATCTGCCAATCATCCTGCAGAATGGCTGATATTTTTTTACGAAGACACTTATGACAGATAAAATAAATGAAAGTCATCTGGGTCTGTTAAGATGTCCTACCTACCACCCAGTGCTGTTTCTGGGACACACTTCTATATTTATGAAATTACAAACTCAGGGTTATGAAATCCCAAGGGTCCAGATGTGGAGCCAGTAGGAAACAGATTGCTTATGCAGACCTTATTTCAATGCCAGGCGTGAAGGTGCCCTCTTTCAGGTAATAGCTAATGTGCAGAGCAACCGCGAGAAGGTGTCGGAGCAATCAGGGAAACTTGAAGGAGTTAAGAGATAACTTTTCACCCGTAGAAACAAGATGTGCTGTTCGCTATGCCAGTGATGAAGTAATCAATTTAAAAAGGACTAGGCCAAGTTTCCTCAGCCTTGTTTCAGACCAAGAGGATTTTATTTCAAGAACAAGCCTGCTAGTAAAGTGCATGTAACTTAATTTTGCATAATGATTAAAGTAGTTGAATTTTCTTGCCATTGTTTTGGAAGATAACTCTTAATACTACAAACTATTTCAAGTAACACAAAAAAGTAATGGTTTTTTGGGGGGTTTTCATTCCACCTTTGCCTCTCTACTGTATTATTTGATTCTGCCCTGACATTTAAAAGAAAGACCCGTTGTTTTTATTGAGTTTTGAGTAGGTTCCTAAACTGAGAAACTACTTTTTTTTAGAAATGTAATGGTCTTTAAAAAGTGCAGGAAGAAAATAGTGGGGTATTGAATTGTTTTGGTTTATTTATGACCTATGAGGAAGTCATAATAAACCTGGTTGCGTACAATATTTTTTCTGGCATTGTATGATATTTTCTGATAATTCTGCACCACAAACATGTCAATTTGATATTTATCTAAGAAGCTTTTAACCAAACTAGATTGTACCTCAGTGTAGTTCAACATCTTGGTATCTGGTGGTAGCATTTGTTCCCTGAGGGTGATTTTGGGGCAGAGTGGATTTTTCAGAATAACCTAAAGAGTGCCTGGTTTGCATGTTGCACATTTTATCTTAAATATTACATGCAGATTGGAGCTGTCACTGTTCTGGTGTTACTGTGCTATGACAATCACTAACTATCAGATGTGGGCACAGTGATGGAGAGGTGCCTGATGTGCACCATATGTACCAGCTGAGGCCTTACAATAACACATTTCTCCTGCTAAATTGCCTGAAAAGACAAACAGCTGGACTGAATCTCTTAAAAAGCTCAGAGACAGCTCCGCATGCTGACGTCCATTTCGTCTCTCAGAGCTGGGAGAGGTTGGTTTTTTTAAAGGCGACGCATGAAACACTTAAAACAAGAAAGGAGATCTTGAACAAAAACATTGTCCGTCGGAAAGAGTAGCCTTCCACTAAACATACAATTCAGATACTAGAAAGAAAATCGAAAAAGCTACAGGGCCTCACACATATGGACTAAACTAAAATTCCTGTGAGATGAGAGGTGTATGGATAAGGGTAATGGATAGGTTGTTGTTAAGAGGGCCGTCTCCTGCTGAAGTTCAGGTGTATATCAGTATGTAGTGTCTCTACTTTAAAGAGTCCTCTCCTGCTGATGTTCAGGTGTATATCAGTATGTAGTGTCTCTACTTTAAAGAGTCCTCTCCTGCTGATGTTCAGGTGTATATCAGTATGTAGTGTCTCTACTTTAAAGAGTCCTCTCCTGCTGATGTTCAGGTGTATTTCAGTGTGTAGTGTCTCTACTTTAAAGAGTCCTCTCCTGCTGATGTTCAGGTGTATATCAGGATGTAGTGTCTCTACTTTAAAGAGTCCTCTCCTGCTGATGTTCAGGTGTATATCAGTATGTAGTGTCTCTACTTTAAAGAGTCCTCTCCTGCTGATGTTCAGGTGTATATCAGTATGTAGTGTCTCTACTTTAAAGAGTCCTCTCCTGCTGATGTTCAGGTGTATATCAGTATGTAGTGTCTCTACTTTAAAGAGTCCTCTCCTGCTGATGTTCAGGTGTGTATCAGTATGTAGTGTCTCTACTTTAAAGAGTCCTCTCCTGCTGATGTTCAGGTGTATATCAGTATGTAGTGTCTCTACTTTAAAGAGTCCTCTCCTGCTGATGTTCAGGTGTATATCAGTATGTAGTGTCTCTACTTTAAAGAGTCCTCTCCTGCTGATGTTCAGGTGTATATCAGTATGTAGTGTCTCTACTTTAAAGAGTCCTCTCCTGCTGATGTTCAGGTGTATATCAGTATGTAGTGTCTCTACTTTAAAGAGTCCTCTCCTGCTGATGTTCAGGTGTATATCAGTATGTAGTGTCTCTACTTTAAAGAGTCCTCTCCTGCTGATGTTCAGGTGTATATCAGTATGTAGTGTCTCTACTTTAAAGAGTCCTCTCCTGCTGATGTTCAGGTGTATATCAGTATGTAGTGTCTCTACTTTAAAGAGTCCTCTCCTGCTGATGTTCAGGTGTATATCAGTATGTAGTGTCTCTACTTTAAAGAGTCCTCTCTGATGATGTTCAGGTGTATATCAGTATGTAATGTCTCTACTTTAAAGAGTCCTCTCCTGCTGATGTTCAGGTGTATATCAGTATGTAGTGTCTCTACTTTAAAGAGTCCTCTCCTGCTGATGTTCAGGTGTATATCAGTATGTAGTGTCTCTACTTTAAAGAGTCCTCTCCTGCTGATGTTCAGGTGTATATCAGTATGTAGTGTCTCTACTTTAAAGAGTCCTCTCCTGCTGATGTTCAGGTGTATATCAGTATGTAGTGTCTCCACTTTAAAGAGTCCTCTCCTGCTGATATTCAGGTGTATATCAGTATGTAGTGTCTCTACTTTAAAGAGTCCTCTCCTGCTGATGTTCAGGTGTATATCAGTATGTAGTGTCTCTACTTTAAAGAGTCCTCTCCTGCTGATGTTCAGGTGTATATCAGTATGTAGTGTCTCTACTTTAAAGAGTCCTCTCCTGCTGATGTTCAGGTGTATATCAGTATGTAGTGTCTCTACTTTAAAGAGTCCTCTCCTGCTGATGTTCAGGTGTATATCAGTATGTAGTGTCTCTACATGTCTCCATGCTTTAATGTTCAAAAAGCTCTTTATTTTTCTCATACTGTCTGTGCTGCAGCACCTCTTTTCACCCTCTGTCTGAAACCAGAGCCCAGTCTGCTCTGATTGGTTAGCTGGCCGGCTCTGTTGTGATTGGTCAACCCCTTAGAGATGGTGATATATTCATATAACCCCAATCTAGTACTTTTCAGACACGTCATACTTATTTTCGTTTTTAGTATTTACATTATTTAAGAATTTGCTATATTTTATTTGTTGGGCTCCAAAAGTATGATTAAAGGATACAGCAGGAGTATGGTACAGAAATTATAATGTATCTAAATAAAAAATGCCCTGGGAAGAAGGAAGAAGAAAAGCAGGTTTGTTTTAGATGTCATCTTAATTATAATGTAAAGTGCATAAACAAAACATAATTGTTCTTGGTTTGAAACTTTGTATAACAGTTTGAAGTATTTCACAAAAACGTTGTGTTCAGAGGGGGGGCTCTTATTCTGAAAGAGAAGAAACAATATTTAGATTTACCGAGGCGAGACTAGCTGGCCTTGCTTTGTTTGAATCAATATGTTTGCACAATAATAGATGCAACTCGCAGTCATTTGAATAATGAGGACTAAGCTGCAGCAGAGTGTGGATGAAAAAATGCTTTCATAGTTTCTCAAATTAAAAAAAAGTAGATCCCAGAAGGACGAAATGTGTTTGGACAAATCCTCTCATACAACACATCCGGATATCATTGCCTCCATGGAAACACACACCTCATGTACGTTAACACAATCCTCTGCTCGATGCCTTTCTATCACACAGTGACAGCACATGTCCGAAAGGGAGGACAGCCAATCCATCATCTCACATCACCGTTATCATCCTGCTGCTGGATACAAAGGACATATCACTTTTAAAACCGCTGCTTTTCTATGTTGCAGCGAGCGGCTTAGGGATACATCTCAGAAATATGTATTTACAAAGAAGAAGCTCTTCCAAAAAATATAGTCCCAGGGTCCCCGCTATGTTTCAGAAATGATCATTTTCAGGGGTATCATCGATCATACTGCACAACAATATAATCTGTTCTATCTCAAAGTCTCTTGGCGCTGCAATTTATATGCAGAAGTGCCGTTTTAGTGGGGGAAAATGAGATAGCAATGTAGTGGAACATAAAAGTTATACTGGATAGTTTCTTTGGCTGCGGATGAAATTCGGTAAGTTGTTAGCCTTAAAGCTTTAAGAAGCATCCTCACTAGGGAGATCTTTTTATTTTTTATAATAGCCCACAAATGCTAATTTAAACTTTCTTCTGAAGGAGGAAACTGCAAGATCATGGTTTCCCTAATCCATTTAAAAGGTTTTCCCTGGCATTAGTGAATGAAGTGGGAATGTATGTGATACGTGGAGCGTTCTGTGTGACCGGGAAACTTCATTTGAACATTTTCTAGAGAGTCTAGCTTGAATGTAATACTTTCCACAGGTCACATTCAGGCTAAAGGGAATACAAAGAATCGAACTGCACGCCAGGTACAGTTTGATCTGAGCCCTGCGGTAATGTAAAATAAAATATATGGTCATGGAGAGCATTCAGCTCCCTGTGGAAATGACCTAAACGTTTTCTATCTGACACACGATGTGAAACAATGACGAGAAAAGCTGGTATCTTTCTCAATTTATATCCAGCGTTTACTTTTATAAACAGCCTGCTCTTGGCTAAAGAAATGTTGCATCTTTCCTCATTAGTTATACTTAGTGTATAAACAGCATAAATCAGCAAACGTCGAGGTAATGAACCGAGAACGGTGCAAAAATTGCAGCGCTGTGCTTTACAGGTGACACAGAGTCAGAGTTGACCGTTAATCGTCGACCTGAAGTGATACTGCGGGGTTTTGTTCTTGCAAAGCCCGCGGGTGGCTCACCAGTAAACTTCCCCCTGATCCTCCAATCACAGCTGTTGCCCTGAAAGCTCTCCAGCAGCGCATTTTTCACGAGGGCACGATCGTCACGAACCCCAATTTCTACATCAGTTCACAACGGGGGAAAAAGCTGCTGTGGTTGGCAAATAGGCCACAAATAACCGACATTGGGGATGGCTAAGAGCTGTGACACAGCTGTTTTAGAGGACAACTCCTCTTGTATGTAAAGCTGCAGCCAACTCATTTCACTGTCTGCTAAGTTTCAGTCAGAGCTTATTAGATCTTTACTCAATGACCAGCCAAATCACTAAATGAGCTGAGAGAAGATGTTAGTTTTCAACCAACAGTGGGCTGGAAAGAGTCAAAAGAAGAAAATATACTTTAAAAAAATATCTGTATTCTTAGCAGGGAGGAAAATATGAACGTAACTCTTGTCTTGCAGCTAAAATACTGTTATTATATTTGCAGAAACTGTGACACGGATACATATTAGAGCTACACGGACTTAAAATGAGACAAGGAAATGAGTGTTGATCCTTCGGGGAGCACTGAGACGTTCACTGTCCGATCATTCAGTATAATTAAATGCTCACACATAATCAGCCTGCAGACCACGGATCATGAATCTAGCTTTTCTGAGGCTGCAGTGACCCCTGCTGGAGGGGATCACTCAGACAGACTAACCTACACAATTAAACATACTTAAATAAATACAGGAAGTACACCTGATACAACCTGGGGTGTTTATAAGTGAAGTTAATTGTTTTTAATTTAATTGTACCTCTGACATTGTGTACAGGAACAGTCTAAATCCCAATGGCATGTCAATCAACTTAATTCCCCTTTTGCTCCAGGCAACATTTAATTAAACATGCATCTATTATAATAATCATTTTGTAAAAGAAAAAAACATCTTTAAAAAATATGATGGTATCTCATTAGTCACATGAAAAATACCATGCATAAAATGTACCTAACTCTTGTGTAAGGCTGCAAATATTGATTATTTTCAATCAGTTTCTTGATTGTTTGATTTATAAAATGTCAGAAAATAGTCAAAAGTCCAAGGTGATGTATTTAAAGTTTAAACACATTGTTATTTCAGTCCAAAACCCAAAGATATTCACTTTAATACGATATAAAACAGTAAGAAATTGCCATATTCGAAAGACTGAACTGCTTTTCTGCCGTGTTTGCATGAAAAATTACCCTAAATATTTATCAATAATTCAAAAATAGTGGCAGCTTTTTTTCTGTCATTTAACTTATCAATTAATCTATCAATCACTGCAGCTTTATTTCTAAGTAACATGACGATTAAATCAAAAATAAATTGATAAATAATGTGATGTCTGATGGGATGTTGTACTTCAGAGTGGTTCTTATATAATAATACATGTAGCCCTGATTATTAAGATGGACTCAGATTCATTTTAACTGATTCGAGAAAGACAGCAGGAGGTTTCTGACTTATATAAATTATCAAAGTATTGACAACTATTTTTTCTGTCAATCAACATATCAATAAGTTGACTATGCGGCAGTGGTTCAGTCTGTAGGGGATTGGACTTTGGACCGAAGGGTCGCCGGTTCACGTCCCGATCGGACCAAAAATACAGAGTGTGGACTGGAATGGAGAGGAGCCAGTTCACCCGCTGGGCCACTGCCGAAGTGCCCTTGAGCAAGGCACCTAACCCCCAACTGCTCACTGGTGCCGGCTAGACTGGCTGCCTCTGCTCTGACCTCTCAACTGCATATAACTGTGTGTGTATTTGTATATGTATGTAAAAAGTGTGTACTGTGTGTACCTGTATAACAAAAGAAAGCATGTGTGTCCATCTTCTTCTTCTATGTGACATGAAGATGAAATCAAAATAAATGAATAAAAAATGTGAATTTGATCAAATGTAGTACTTCAGTGTTACCTGTGTTATTCATGTTTTATTATCTTTGCTTTTTTAATGTGTTTTATGCTCTTAATGTCTTTCATTTTTGTGAAGCACTTTGAATTGCCTTGTGTTGAAAAGTGCTATATAAATAAACTTGCCTTGCCTTCAGAGTGGTTCTTATATAATATAATACCCTGTAATGTAGCCCTTATCTTATATGCACAGAGAGTATCAATAAGTTGACTGATCAGAGTTAGACAACAGGAGGTTTCTGACCTATGAGGAGGCTGAGAGGAGGCGAGCAGGAGGTGAAGGCAGAGAGGAGCTCCATCAGGCAGAGGCTCTGGTCCCTCACATGCAGGTTGTAGTCGGCGCTGCCCTGTTTACTGCACAGCTCCTGCAGTCTCCTCCTCTGCACACCGCCCTCCGTATGCTCCACCAGCGCCCGCACAAACGCCTGACAAAGACACGGAAAATAAAAAGGTAACCTGAAGCGGCTCTGAACCTCCGTCAGCATCTCGGTCGTTCTTTAACTTCTTCTGACCTACGTTTTCAGAGGCATTTCATACAAATTCTAACAGGAGAGAATCACATTGTACATATTCCAGGAAAGATCTTTGTTAGTTTTCAAGGTAATTTAAAACTTTAGAGGCAGACCTTGACAGCAGCCCACCTTCAGAAGAAAAGACATTTTATTATTCACTTAGCACTTACTTCTACCAATGAAGCAGTACTAGTTTATATAGTGCAGACGGTGTATCTTAATATGCTGCTTGATACATTTAAAAGTACCCTTTGGACCTTTTCTATAGAAGTAAAATGCGAGAAGGGCAAAATGTCTCACAGAGGATAAAACATGTGTCAAAACACAATTTCACTTCTTCATAAAATAAATTAACTTTCTCCAAGCAACAAAAAGAATTGTGCTATAGCCTGAGAAAACATGACAAAGGTCGTCCCTCTTATTATGCTGATATTCTTTCTGTTGTTTCAGTGTGTCACATCAAAAAGTGGCAATGCACTTTACAAAGTAAGGAGCTGTAGAGGAATGTCTGTACCTTCTTAGGAACGCTCCTGATCTCCAGACACCATGTGAGCAGGTACAGCAGAGAAATGTTCGGGGGAACGTGGGCTGGCACCTGGGCTCCTGTAACAAGAGATTAAAGAACATATGGGAATTATTATAGGTATGAATGTCAAAGAAATAAGAACCGTTTGTACACTTTGCATGTGGTCGCATTCACACCAGCCTTGTATAGTCCGGTTGAAATCGAACCCTGGTGCGTTTAGCCGCTTGCTGCAGGTAGTTTGGGTCGGTGTGAACGCAGTCCGAGACCTCTGAAGTGAACTAAACAACCGGACTCTGGTCCGCCTAAAAGAGGTGGTCTCGGAGCGCTTGCTAGTGAACTCTGGAGCGGTTCATCGCTGGTGTGAACGCAGTCCGAACCAAAACATAGGAAGGGTAGTATTTACGCGTCACAAGAACGTGGATGTCTTCCAAATCAATTTTTGAAGACATCCGCGGTTGTTTAGTTAAAGAGTGAAGCAGAATGAAGTGTTGAACAGTGTCGTACAGTAAAAATGCTCCGTGAACTATACATAAAAGTCAGAGCCACCTGTCGTCTGTGAAACCTCCTCCTGACTGCAGAACGTCTCTCATTATATGTGTTATAATTTTTTTAACGGACGTTGTCTGATTATATAATCATATGCGTGGGCCGCTAGTGTCTGTTGATCTCCAGATTAACAGCAGCATGAGAATAACCTGCCGAAAGTGCCGATGCTCCATGGCGGAGGCTCCGGTAGAAATAGTCGGGATTTGAGTTTTTACCCCCTTAATGTCTGACCAATGGTTGAACAGCATTTCCGTGCACATGACTTGTGTTTAAAGTTTATAGTCCGTTTGAGTTTTGCCCGTGTGAATGCAAACCGACCCTTCTGAACAATGTAACAAACTGTCGTCTGGTGCGCAGCTGAGGAGAGGACTATTAGGTGTGAATGCGACCTTAAACTCATTTGACGGGCACTGCTTACCTTTCTTCTTAGTGTCTTTAAGTAGAGAGATGTGAACACTGTGGTTCCTCTGCTCATAGAGGCCCAATCTGTGGAGCATTTCCTCCACCTCAGAGTCTTTGTTTGGGCAGAACACATCGAAGGAATCCCCTGGCTGATATGTCAGATTAGGGTGAGCCTTAGAGTGAAAAAAGATGCATTTTAAATCAAAACATCTCAATTTAATAGAAAACTGCAGGTTTTTTTTTTATCTGAAAAGTGTTGCTTACAGAGAGGTCCAGCTCCAAGAGAAGAGACGTCTTGACTGAATCTCCTCTGGTCAGCTGAAGTGCTCTGGATATGGGAACCTCATGCAGAGTCTCCTTGTTTGACGGTCCAACAATCTGCAAAAACAAATATGATATAAAAGGGGAAATATGGTTTAAAATCCTGGTTTTATCAGCAGCAGTTTTCCTCACCTGTTGCACAGTGTCTGCCTCTTTAAGGGTGACATTGAGGTAGGGGGGAGGCAGTGCAGGAACATTAAGAGAGGACTCAGACAGCGGCGGCAGGGAGTGAGTCAGGGAAGCTGCCAATGTAACATGAGGAACTGCAGCAGAAACACTGGCAGTACCAAGAGGCTGGGATGGAAACACAGCTGGCCTGAGATCAGACACAGCAGACGCCAAAGCTGCGGTTGCACATTTGGATACAGATGCTCCAATCGACCCACAGTCCTTCTGGTCAGTTATTCTCAAGAGGTTAAGTTGGACATCTGGTATGGATGAATCAGGAGTTTCCATTATTAAATCCCCTGCTCCTGCATTCGAGTAGTCAGTCCTATCAGAAGCCATTTTTGATAAGGCTCCGTTGATTGCTTTCCACAGTCCTTCAATCCAGGGGTCCAGGACCACCTCAAGTCTAGAGTGAACAGAGTCAACAGTATCATACACAGCAATGTAATACAAAAAAAAGAGAGGGTCTGAATGTCTTTCCTGCAGAACGTACCCTACACCATCATCTGCATATCCTGTCGCATAGAATTGTTTGGCTCCGAGTTCCTGGAGACTACGTTCTATCGTCTTCCCGCAGTTGCAGAAATTTGCATAATTTGTGTCTCCTAAAGCTGGAGCAGAGAGAGGGAAACAGATGAAATATTTCTCAAGTCACTGCCTGCTGAGAAGGTAAACACTGCAGAGTAAGGATATACACAAACATGTTTTGGAAATCAGTATCCCCCATGGATTCAAGAAGAGCTACTTCATCGTAGAATTTACCTAAAAGTGCATAGCAAAGGTGTTTATAGTGGTCAGAGGTCTTCTTCTTGATGCTCTTTACAAATTGGAGGGCATTGTCTGGCGGTTCCCCATCTCCAGTGGTAGACACAATAAAGACCACGGGGTCCTTCTCCTTCTCCAGATTGTACTGGAACCAGTTATATGATTATTCAGTGAGTGATGTTTCCTCTAACTGATGTGATATCTCATTATATCTATATAAATCACAAGGCAATATCACATTTAGTTAGTGATTAGGTATTTGTTTTAGTGAGTCAACAGCCATGCATGGTCTTGAACGGGTCTTATAATGTGCAAAAGCTTACCTTTTCATTCTGGTTCAAGCAGCTGAGCTCAGCCACCAGTCCATGCTCCTCTGCCTCATCGGCTATTCCCTCTGCTATGGACTCAGCTTGGCCCTTCTGAGACCCGTAGAGAACCACAAACCGAGGCTTCGCTTCACAGGGCATGCTGGAGAGTTAAAAATAATGTTTTGTAGATTTACATATTTCTTAATAGACCCTTTTCATAAGATGTTCACAGTTTTGACTTGTTGGAAAAGCACAGGTGATACTCATAATAACATTAAAGATGGCTTAGTTAGTTCCGTTCAAGGGTCCAAGTAAGTTTTACATTCCCTCTTGGTACGTTGAGTGTATTTTGATGCTGAAATTGTTTTTACTTAAAGGTCCCATGTCATGCTTTTCCGGTTATTACCCGTCCCCTTGTGTGTTAAGAAGGTTGTCTATGCTGCCCCAGAACGCCTCGTTGAAGATCTCTCATTTTCCATTGTTTGCTTCCTGGGTTCTGTGACGTGTGAACACCCAAATCAACAACAAATGACCGGATTGGCCCAAATGGACCAATCCGTGGAGCACCTCACACACCAGGTACACCAGGAGCTCCAACAAGCCGTTTAGGACAGAGAGCGAATACCTGGTGAATACACATACTTATACAGAGATGCTGTATGAGAAACCAATGTGATTTTGGAAAATTGCACAATTTAAATCTATTCTAGGAGACCTCAACAATGGAAATATGATCAGTAGTAGAAATGGACATGCCATGGGACCTTTAAGTAAGATTTTGAATGCAGGGTATTACCACTTTTACTAGAGCAAATGTCTGAATATTTTACCATTGAATTCTGGGCTATATAACTAATTCATAATATCAATATTTTGTTGTTCAATGTTACCAAAGCATGTTGCAATAAAGAAGGATATATCCTGCCCTCTTCCTACTGTATAGCCAAAGCATTCAGGTATTCAGTCAAAAACAGCATTATGAAACATTATAATAGAGGCACAGAAAGAAACATAAAAAGGTATTAACAACACAAGGCTGGACAAAAACAACACCACAACTGTAGAGGAGTAATACATCAAGTATTCAGCTGTCAAGTTGTGTTTAATGGATCTCTTCTTACCTAGATAATGCAGATGTTAACAGGTTACAATAAGGCTGCCTCAGAAAAGCCTTCACAACAGCTCTGAACACCACCCTAAAGAACTGGTCCCGGATATTGCATCAGTTGTTAACATTACGATACCAGAGTACATGTGGTTTTGAGTATGTTGTCTATCGTTCTCTTATCTAATGCTAAATCAATAACAACACTTGCAGCTAAATGTTAGCATAGATAGCGAACTGACAAGTAATAACTGACAACTCTGACACAATGAAGACAAGCCCCGTTGGATGTTGTCTTTTAGAACTAAACGTATCCCTTTTAAAATAAAGCAAAATCCTGATGTGTCTTTAGAGGTGGATGTAAAGAAAGTTAAACATTTTTTTCTACCTTTTTAAATCCACTCACTTCACTCGTTCCCATGCATCTCCAGGAACTAACGCGAGATCATGGCACACACGTGATCGGAAGAAACCACATTACAAAAAAAACATATTTGTACTTCTAACATTAAACTATAATCTATAAAACGATTGTATCGTTTGCAGAACAATTTCAATACAGTTCATTGTAAAGGGTTTATTGATTATTGGGGGGAAAGGGTGTTTTAATGTGTAATAATAAGACCTAAGACGCACTAAGGCTACTTAGCAGTACTTCCCATGCAGCTTCTCCGGAACTAACGCGAGATCATGATGGGGCAAGCGGGATCGGGAGAAACCACCCTACTATATATATTTGTTTTACTTCTAACCTTAGTTATTCTTTATGTAAAATATTTAAATAGTTTTCAGAACACTTTCAATACAGTTCAGTGTTATGTGTGAGTTGATTCCTGGCAAAAAGGGGTGTTTTAGTGTTTAATAATAAAACGTACTTAAGGCTACTTGGTTCCTCCCTCCCCCACCTCTCGATCCTTCCAGAAGCAGCCGGCAGACTCGTGCTGCTCGCAGTTCAGGCTCGGTCCACATTTCCTTCTCAGAAACTGATTATTTTACACCTGAACACTTTTAAAGTGTTCCAACCGCGAAGTCAAGATGTCCTCTTTGGGGACATTGGCTTTTGATGAGTATGGAAGGCCTTTCATCATCATCAAAGACCAGGACAGGAAGACTCGGCTGTCGGGCATTGACGCACTTAAGGTACAATGGGCTAACTAATGCTGCAAGCTAGCAACATGCTAACTTGCTAGTAGTTGCATGGGGTGGGGCATCATCATACACAGTGAGACAACAATATGCATGTTGTATACCATCGTGTGTTTAAATAACGAAGGTTTTTGGTGAAAAAGCAACAGACTAGCATTTTACAAAGGATTAGCCAGTCATGCTAGCATCGAGGCCCATGTGCTTTCTGTGACGCGGTGGCTGTTGCTACGCCCAAAAATGTCATTAGTGATGCACATCATCTCAAACTCTTTTATTGGTTTGCATATGGCATCTTAAGTCTGTATACGTTTTTTTTAATTTAGAGACCAAGAATAAAATGTTTTTCTGAAATGTGATTTTGAAATGTTTTGCAGTCTCACATTATGGCAGCTAAGGCAGTCGCGTCAACGCTGAAGACTTCTCTGGGACCAAATGGTGAGTAAAACCAACGCAGTGCACACAAGACTTCTTCCATTGTAGAGGCCTTCAATACTGCGTAGGTGCATTGGCACATTTAGCATTTTTACATACATTTGTCTTGTAATAATGCACATCAATCATTGCACTATATTTACTATTTAATTGCCTACATTTGCATTACAAATTCCCTTTTTGCAGTTGCGATATTTGGCATGGCATCACGTCATTGCATTTATTTGATCTGGCTTTCTTTCTGTATTGCGTATAAGTTATTTTAAATATGTCTTATCATTTACTTTAATGCCTGAATTTCCAGGGGATCAAACGATCTATCTAATCTATTAGATAGGATTCAATGATTTTATTAACTTTAAAATTAATAATCGATTTTGATTTTGTCTAGGTGTATGCTGTGGTTGACAAAATAATTCCAAATAACATCTTAAATATCAAGAACAACCTAGCAAATTGAAACATTAGCATAAACCATATAAAAAGCTCTCTAACAAAGTGAGTTAACCATACATATATTTCACCACTACTTCCCCCACAATACTATTTTTACATGTATTTAATAAGTAATTCAAGATCTAGCATTTTCTTAACAATTTTCTTTATTTCCAGGTCTTGATAAGATGATGGTGGACAGGGATGGAGAGGTGACTGTCACCAACGACGGAGCCACCATCCTCAGCATGATGGATGTGGATCACCAGATCGCTAAACTCATGGTGGAGCTCTCCAAGTCCCAGGATGATGAGATTGGGGATGGAACCACTGGAGTTGTTGGTACGGAAAAGGGAACAATTCCCAAACTAATTTACAGCTTTCCTCCAGATCACCTGACATTGTTGAAGCATATTTAAGTGACTGTTGGTGTCATTGTCTCACTGTGTTCTCCTCTGCCTCCTCAGTGCTGGCCGGAGCTCTTCTGGAGCAGGCTGAGCAGCTGCTGGACCGAGGAATCCACCCCATCAGGATCTCCGACGGTTACGACCAGGCAGCAAAGGTTGCTATTGCGCAGCTCGACAAAATCGCTGAAACCCTACTCTGCGATCCCAACAACACAGAGCCTCTGATCGAGACCGCCATGACCACACTGGGATCCAAAATGTGAGTCCTGTTTCCATTGGGCTGTACTGAATTGTGCGAACTCTGCAAAGATATTAAAGTTCTGCCCTTTCTTTCTTTCAGTATCAACCGGTGTCACAGGCAGATGGCAGAGATCGCAGTGAACGCCATCCTGACCGTGGCCGACATGGACAGGAAGGACGTAGACTTTGAGCTGATCAAGATGGAGGGCAAAGTGGGAGGCAAGCTGGAAGACACACAGCTCATCAAGGGAGTGATCGTGGACAAGGAGTTTAGCCACCCTCAGATGCCCAAGGTACAAACCAGGGGAATGTCACTCTTAGATGACTGTCACAAATCCTGTATTTTTGGAGAGATGAGGGAAACTGTTGCGTGCATTTTTACTTATTTGTGTCTGCTCTAAGATGATAATGCTGACTAATATTATTCTTTGTCCTTCCTCAGGAACTGAGAAATGTAAAAATGGCCATCCTCACCTGCCCGTTTGAGCCCCCAAAGCCGAAGACCAAGCATAAGTTGGATGTGACCAGCGTTGCGGACTACAAAGCTCTCCAGAAATATGAGAAGGAGAAGTTCCTGGAGATGATCCACCAGGTGAGTGCTGCAGCCTCTGAAGTGCTGAAACGTAACATCCATACAGGTACATGTGGACTCAGAATCTAAACGCATGTATCTTTTGAAGGTCAAAAGCAATGGTGCTAACTTGGCCATTTGCCAGTGGGGCTTTGATGATGAAGCCAACCACCTCCTGCTGCAGAACGACCTGCCCGCCATTCGCTGGGTCGGAGGGCCCGAGATCGAGGTGAGATATTTTTCATAAGATGGTACCTTGATGTAGAGTTACTTTTTAACAAAATATTCCATGGCTTCCTAAATTCTGTCCATATACGGTCTTGCAATTAAACGGCACAAGGAGACGTTTGTTGGCCATCGATATTTTATATGTAACTATTTTTCAAACATTTCTGTAGAGATGAGTACTGAAACTTGGGCAGGTCTTATTTATTAAAGACTGTATTATTGATGAGCTTAACTCCATTTACCTTAAGTACAATAAAAACACATTTGGAAGTGTTTAAAATATATATATATATATATATATATATACATATATGAACATGTAGTGGTGTTGAGCAAAAAGTATGAAGTCCTTGAATCATTTGTGCTGAAGTTCAAGGCTTTTATTGTCATGTGTGCATAGCAACGTGTAGTTATGACAACGAACATCTTAGGCTCCTCCAACAGTGCAACACAATAAAATAGTACAAGTAAAGAAAATAAAATATAAAAGTAGACAAACACTGGAATAATACCCAAAAAAAGGCAGAGTTGGGGAGGAGCCAAAGACACTGCAGCCATCTTCACGGCGCCGGTATCATGAAGTTTGTGCTGAAGTATCCATTGTCGTGTTTCCTCCTCAGTTGATCGCCATCGCCACAGGAGGCCGCATCGTGCCGAGGTTCTCCGAGCTGACCCCAGAGAAGCTGGGCACCGCTGGGCTGGTGAAGGAGATCTCCTTCGGTACCACCAAGGACCGCATGTTGGTTATCCAGGAGTGCAAAAACACCAGGGCCGTAACCATCTTCATCCGTGGAGGCAACAAAATGGTACGTGGGCTTCAAATGTTCACATGTCAATTCATGATAATCTTATCATTCATGGATCTCATTGGTTATTATTTCATCGTCTCTCATTAGATCATTGAAGAAGCCAAGCGCGCTCTCCATGATGCTCTGTGTGTGATCCGTAATCTGGTCAGAGACAACCGTATTGTGTATGGAGGCGGAGCTTCAGACATTTCATGCGCTCTGGCTGTCAACCTGGCTGCAGATAAGGTAAGACGAACCACAACCTGCAGATACTTTAAGTATTGAGCTAAATGAAATGCAGGAATTATTTGCAGAGTTAATAGCACAATATATTTAATGTGATGGAGTTCAATCATCGGTAAACAGTATGTAGCTTATAAGTTCATCTTGAAAAGGGGTTGAATATGACTTTGGAAAAGTGGCAGTTTCCTTAATTCTGTGTCTTTTTCCTCTGTAGTGCCCATCTTTGGAGCAGTATGCCATGAGGGCGTTTGCTGATGCCATGGAGGTGATCCCGATGGCGCTGGCGGAGAACAGCGGGTACAACCCCATCCAGACCATGACAGAGGTCCGCGCCCGACAGGTCAAAGAGAACAACCCCTTCCTCGGCATCGACTGTCTGCGCAAAAACACCAATGGTGAGGAAGCAGGACTTGTAGTGATCCCACACTTAGGGGTCACCTATTATGCAAAATCCAAGTGTCTGAGCTGATCAGGTTTTGGCCACTTTGTGATGTCATAACGACATGGCTTGTGTTACCATTAGTCAATCAGCAACCAAGGTAAACCCCCCCCACCTTATCACCTGAATCTCCTCCTAGAGCACCATTGTGTTCTTTTTAACCAGATCTCTCTGAGGGGCGTGGGGAGGGGCTCCTTATTTTCATCTACAGTAACAGACAGAGAATCAGCACTTTGGAAACAGGGCTGAAACAGAGGGGATTATGGGATGCTGCAATGATCTGTTTGGTGTTCCAGCCAATCAGAGACATGTTCTGTATATATCCGAGACCTGTGATGTATTGATGACAAACGGTATAATAGGGGACCTTTAATGTGAAAGCAAGAGGATCTGATATGAATGTTTGTTTTCCTCCGCTCAGACATGAAGCAGCAGCATGTGGTGGAGACTCTGATCGGTAAGAAGCAGCAGATCTCTCTGGCCACGCAGGTCGTGAAGATGATCCTGAAGATCGACGACATCCGCGCCCCCGGAGAGACCGAGGACTGAAGGCTTCCTGGAACTCTTTCCACTAGGCACTTCCCCGAGCTCCATGTCCAAACCGCACTGCGTCTTGCTATTTATCATTTGATACAAAATGTTCAAGCTGTTGTAGTATCAGTCACCATTAAAATGTTGGTCCGTTGAAACATTTCCAGACTCTCCGGTATCTGATTTCAAGCCCACAATATGAACCTGGTAATAAAAGCTGTATTCCATGTTAGTTGTGCATTACATGTCTTTATTTGTACTCCGAAGGTCGGCAAACTGACAGATAAACCACATACTAAATCACATTTTATTCTTGCATTCTTAAACAATTTTGGGACAAGTCAAAAGTGCTTTGGTAAAATTGTTAGTGCCATTGGCGGTTAACGAAAAATACAAAGGCACAAAATGGGAGACTATTACTTTGATTAAAGTTATAAATTGAAGAGAATAACTTTTGTGTTGAACCTACAGACTTAAAGTGGACCTATCATGGTATATTTAAATGATATATTGTAGGGCCATACCTATATAAGGTATATTTATACGTTTCTGTTTTCAAAATACCAAACGGATAATGCATTTTAGCCATGCCTCATTTCGTTCAATTTGCACTTTTTTTAGCTCGGCAAGGGCTGATTATGTGAGAACAGCACCATCTAGAGGCCTGGCATATGTACTACAGCGCTTTCGAACGGCAATGGCCGTGGCTGTCTCCTGATTGGAGTTGGCCCAATAGCCGTAGCGCCACCGTCCTGACGTCAGGACAGTGTTCAAATCTGGATCAGTTTTTATCAGATCTGTTGCAGCCCCTTTTTTTGAGATTTGGGTATGGAGGAAAATAGAGAGGGTTGTGTTTTCTGACATTTGGTGAGTTCCCTGGAACACCGGGGACACATATTCATGTAGAAAAGATGTACAAAAGTGCATTTTGCATGATAGGTCCCCTTTAAGGAAAAATAAGTTTAAGGCACACTTATGAGAAACAGTGTGAAGCATACCAATACCCATCTTTTGATTATGTAATTATTAATGCATAAAGCTATAACCTGATCCAAATAACTGGATTAAAATCACAGCCTCAGCTTTCACAGTTCCATACATCAACATTCAGACCTACAAATTAAACAAACACTTCAGAGGTTGTCTGCAAATAAACTAAATGTATGAATAACATCACTCCTCTGCTCACTGTAAAAGATATCTACATTTTACATTTGGTGTATTTGTTTATTTTTGTAACTATTGATACAATGAACAGACACAATATGAAAGCTGGGTAAAAATAAATGCTTACTATGTTGTAGAAAATATTATACATAATGTACTTGCACACATCTATACACATATCTCCTTAGATGCTCCAACAGTATGCATACGTGTATACATATTTGGGTGTGTAGGGCTAACACAAACAGGGTCTTTGGGCCACTTTGTCCATGATTGACCTTTTTAAATTCTCTGTCCTGGGTCTATGATTCTTCCATTTACAGATGAAGTTTGGTTTATTTGGTCTTAGTACAGGGTTAAAGGTGGGGTAGGTAATTTTGGAGAAACCAGCTCGAGTGCGCTAGAATTTGAAAATACACAGCCGGAAAAAATCTGCCACTTCCTTACAGAGCCCCTCCTCCAACACACACGAACGCGCACATGACCAATGAGGGCACGAGATAAGTTTGTCAACAGATGGAAGGCTGACAGGCAGGTAGGCCATCCAGTTATTTTAGCCGGGCCGGCTCAGATGATTGGTCGTGCTTTTTACAGTACTACGGCTTCCACAGATGATGTTTTGTTATGGATTTTTTGTCAAAGCACTTCAGATATTCATTGCTATCGGGATGTTAAGAGCATTCCATGGAATATAACAAAAAGTGTATCTCGAGCCGGTTTCTCAAACTTACCTACCCCACCTTTAAGTAAAGCACATTTTCAAAACAGTATTTTTAGTTCTTTATTCTACGTGGAAGAAGATTCTTTGGCACATGTAGTAATGGATGAAGTAGTTTCTGGGTAACAGCTGCTCCTTTGGTCCAGACTTTGTTCACATGTACTTGTTGAGCCAGTCGAGCATGTCGCCTCTGGCCTCCAGGATTTGGGGTTTGTCCTCAGGGTTGATGTCTTCTCTCTTTCTGTGGACGAAGCCGTGCGTCTGACCCGGGAAGATCTTCACCTGGTGATCCACGGTGCACTTCTCCTTCAACTTCGCTTCAAGCACACTCACCTGAGGAGAGGAAGGATGCAAGCACAGGTTCTATATGTGGTTATACAGCAGAGATTATTGCTTTATAAAGTAAAGATATCTACCGTACTTTATATTGAATTTGCTTCTATGATTCGATGCTACATAGGGTTGCAAAGGGGCGGAACATTTCCGGAAAGTTTCCATGGGAAGTTAAGCTGGGGAATTATGGAAATATTCGATGCAAAATTAAACAAAAAACAGGAAATTTCATTTTTTTTAAGTAGAACAGAACAAGTTTTAATTATTTTATGGAACAATTATTTGTTTCATTGAAGAACGAAAACAGGAATGTTGAGTTAAAAATTACTCATCCCCCCCAACCCCACTCATTAAAAAAATGAACAAAAATGCACCCCCCATCCAAAAATCCCCACAAAGTCCCATTCAAAATGTGAAATGAAAAGAGCCCTTCTCCCTCCAGTCCCATTAAACATGCAAATCTTCCTTCAAGCAATCCTCTGCATTTTTGCTAAACCCTTTCAGTCAACGGGCTCTTCCTGGGCCTCATCAACATCCAACTCTGAGTCTTCCTCTTCAGTGTCACTGTCCAGCCTTGTTGAGGATGGCTCTGTGTCCGGCTCAAAGAGCCTTAGGTTTGCCCGAATGCCAACCAGTGTTTCCACTCTCACATTTGTGAGCCTGTTGCGAACCTTTGTGTGGTCTCAATAGCCATGCAGTAAGCAGTGTGCTATGGCATGGATATTCAAGTGTACTTGAATGGCATCTGTTTGTTTTAGTCAAGATTATGCTAAAATATACTTTCCTCAACTATATTTAAGTTCCCTATGAAGAGCCAAACTTCAATTTTGAAAATTCCCAGTTAATTCTCGTTAATTCCCGTGGAAAGTTTCCATCTTTGAAAATTCCCGGAATTTTGCAACCCTAATGCTACAGTACCAGAATGAATAACCAGCAGAGATGGCAAAAGTACACACATCCTTTACTCAGGTAGAAGTACAGATACTCGTGTTTAAAAATACTCTGGTAAAAGTAGAAGTACTGACTAAACTTCTTTACTCAAGTAAAAATAAAGAAGTATGGGCTTTGAAAAGTACCCATAACTTTGTGTCCTTGGGCAAGACACTTCACCCTAATTTGCTGTATTCACTATGTCTGATATGTGTAATGTAAAGCGCTTTGAGCATTTGGAAAAGATTAAAACTAATTATTTATAGTACAGGTATTTGTGTTCAAAACGTAAGAAATAAAAGTAAAAAGTAAGTATTTGTACTCCACTACTTCCCACCTCTGAAAACCAGAATACCATCAGTATTGTCCTAAAACAAGACTCTAACATTATTATATTTTACACGTTACAAAGTATATTTATAAAGTTCCTAAACCTGGTCCAGTGGGATAACGTGATCGTTCTCTGCGAAGATGAAGAGCGTGGGAAACTTCAGATCGTACCGGTCCTCTCTTTCACGGACGATCCCTGCAGTGTCACATGATCCATTAAAACAGATTATTATCATGAACCAACACAATATTTTTAAAATCACATTGTGTGAAATGTAGAGATTTGATGGACTTTAAAACCACACAATTATTGCAAGTGATTGGATGCAACAAAGATGTGTACATTTTTTAATCTTTGAAAATGAATAACACATGTAAAAGTGAAGTATGAACAGAATTGTGTATATACATTTTGTTTGGGACTTTTAGGAATATATAACACATCAATTTTTTCCTTTTCAGTGTGTGAATCTAAAAGGAATTGTACAAAAATAATGAATGTAAAAATGCTAGGATCAACAGGCAGTCACCTTTATCAGTCAAAAGTAATGACAAATTATCTTTCATATGTTTATTTGAGTTATATCAAATTGCAAATCAACTAAACTAATGCAATCTTTAAACAGCAATCAAACTGTAATGTGTTTTTATGAACAAGGGTTGCATATAAATGACAGTTTAATGGTAATTAGGAGGAGCAGATGTTTCCACATGGGGACATACATTGATTTAAATGAACACTAGCGTTGATTTACCGTAGACGGACACTCCAGCTTTGAGCTCTGGGTACTGCAGTGCGAGGTGATGAGTGGAGGACCCCCCCCAGCAGAAACCCACCGCTCCGATGTGTTTGGCCCCACACTTCTCCTTCAGGAACCGCAGCACTGCATCCACCTCTCTGAGAAGGAACCATGAGGACCAAGATGTAATAAAACTATTGCATACAAGGAAAAAAAGCATTGAATGCACTCGACGAAACACTAGGATAGGAATAACTGGCACAGTTTAGTGTCTTGATTTCCATGTCATGTCTCCTCCATGAGTGCAAAAGTGGGGAAATGTTATAAAACCATGTGGAATAAAAGTAGACAAGGTGATAATAAGCTTTGAGTTTACTTGTTAATGTTGGTTGGATTTTTTTCTTCAAACCACTCCTGAAATTTGGACCAGTCATTGGAAGGACTCCACGGCTCCTTCCCAACAAAAAGGTCTGGACACACAGCGCTGCAAGAAAAAACAAAGACAGAAGTGTGAGAAAATGTTTAACTGTCCTGTAATTTTATATTGACTATACTCACATGCAGAGCTGGCAAAAGTACACACATCCTTTACTCAAGTAGAAGTACAGATACTCGTGTTTAAAAATACTCTGGTGAAAGTAGAAGTACTGACTAAACTTCTTTACTCAAGTAAAAGTAAAGAGGCTTTGAAATGTCCTTAAGTAAAAAGTACCCATAACTAGCAGCTGTTTTAAAGAGTACCTGACCTCCCTTTATATTAATAGAACAATAATGTCATTGTTAGCTAATGAATGTTTCCATGCTGAACAACGGCAACATGACAACGTTTTCATTGGTCCCTCTTCTTTAGAGAAGACCAGGAAATGATGGATACACGGATCGTGTTCAAATCAATAGGCACGCAATGACTCTAAATAATAATGATCACGCCACCAAACACACATTCAAACTAAAGTAACCAGCCTGTTTGGGAAATGTGAGAAGTAGAAAGTACAGGTATTTGGGTTCAACATGTAAGAAGTAGAAAGTACAGGTATTTGTGTTCAAAATGTAAGAAGTAGAAAGTACAGGTATTTGTGTTCAAAATGTAAGAAGTAGAAAGTACAGGTATTTGGGTTCAACATGTAAGAAGTAGAAAGTACAGGTATTTGGGTTCAAAATGTAAGAAGTAGAAAGTACAGGTATTTGTGTTCAAAATGTAAGAAGTAGAAAGTACAGGTATTTGAGTTCAAAATGTAAGAAGTAGAAAGTACAGGTATTTGTGTTCAACATGTAAGAAGTAGAAAGTACAGGTATTTGTGTTCAAAATGTAAGAAGTAGAAAGTACAGGTATTTGTGTTCAACATGTAAGAAGTAGAAAGTACAGGTATTTGTGTTCAACATGTAAGAAGTAGAAAGTACAGGTATTTGTGTTCAACATGTAAGAAGTAGAAAGTACAGGTATTTGTGTTCAACATGTAAGAAGTAGAAAGTACAGGTATTTGAGTTCAAAATGTAAGAAGTAGAAAGTACAGGTATTTGTGTTCAACATGTAAGAAGTAGAAAGTACAGGTGTTTGTGTTCAAAATGTAAGAAGTAGGAAGTACAGGTATTTGGGTTCAAAATGTAAGAAGTCAAAGTAAAAAGTCGTGAGAAAAATAAGTAGTGGAGTAAAGTACTGATACCAGAAAAATGTACTTAAGTACAGTAACGAAGTATTTGTACTCCACTACTTCCCACCTCTGCTCACATGTATCCGTTGTCAGCCAGCAGGTCAGCCATGTATCTGGTGTTTGGAAGCTGCCACCCAAAGATGTCCTGAATGACGATGATGGCTTTGTCAGATGGAGCGGATGGTTTTACTAAATAAGCTCCGATGTGCTCGATCTGGACCTCCAGCCCGAGACCCCCCGTACTCCATCCGGTCCCCGAGGTCACAGGGGCACGGCCGCGCTTCATTCGCCATCTGCTGACAGAAAGGTCTCTATTTTGGTGCATAATCTCCTAAATTAAACTGATATGAGCTGTGCCTAATGTGACTAAACTGTGGTAAGATATTTATAGATTCAAAGATTCAAGATTCAAAGGTTTTATTGTCATATGCACAAAGCTACAGTGTAGAAATGGCAATGAAATTCTTCTGACCTGAGCTCCTCCAACAATGCAACATATATAATAAAATACAAAAATACAAAATAAAAAGTAGTGCGAAAAGTATATAGTCGTATATATGTGTAGTTTATTTATGTATTGTTCAATTCAATCAACTTTTTATTAGATTAAATAAACAATCAGCTGACAGGCAGGAGCAGAAACACAGACAGAGAGTCCGCTGGACAGGGAGAAGTATATTTGGGTCACTTTTGGTAAAACTGTCATAGTGCTCCGACCTAAGGTTCACTTCAACATGAATATAACATTTCGGAACACAGTGACTCAGCATTTTTGACATTTTTGCACAAATATCCCCTCTGCTCAAACATCAGAGTTTCAAAATGTAATGTTCATGTGTAAATCAGGGTGCATATGTCAGACACTTACCGTATTGTTTTCCTGATGTTTCGGTAATAGAGGAAACAATCTGAAGAACTTTTCTTTGCGGCGAGAGTCCGAGTATGATCCAAGTCAAGTCCATACGTCAAAGAATGGAATTCCTGCTAAACCCTTCAAAATAAAAGCCGAAAGGTGCATTTAATTGTATCTTCTCATGTCATTAATAACTGTGCAATATATACCTGGCTGCTAAATCCCCAGAACTGTTACAGGATGTGTATTTTGGAAATTGTGTAACCTTTTTTTATTTTTATTATAACTTTTTTTTAACTTTAATACTTTTGTATGCATGCTATAGGTAACATTAAGCCAACGTAAATGTCCCCTCTGTGGGACTAATAATAAAGGGATTCTGATTCTGATTCTGATTGTGTGTGTGTGTTATAATTAGGGTTGTGTTGTGCCGATGAACGGGAGTCAGAGGCGGTGTATTCAGAATGGACTTCCACACTTTATTATCCATTAATCAACAAGAGGTAGGTACATGCATAGATATATATCTATGGGTACATGTGCTGCTCTGTATGACCAGCTAGCATGAATAACACCAAACCCCGGTACCCTCACTAACGGGTCCGGGTTGCAACACACACTATATGACACAGTGAATTATGTCCCGTAAATGTCACCACAGTTGCAACATTCCGGGAATTTTCAAAGATGGAAACTTTCCTTGGGAATTCACGGGAATAAACTGGGCATTTTCTAAATTGAGTGTTGGCTCTTCATAGGGAACTTAAATATAGTTGGGGAAAGTACATTTTAGCATAATCTTGACTAAAACAAACAGATGCCATTCAAGTACACTTGAATATCCATGCCATTATTCCTCAATCACATGCACATAGCACATTGCTGCTGGTCTGCTATTGAGACCACACCCCCTACAGGCACTGTGCATTCCTCCATCACATGCACAGATGATTTCTAGAAGACTGGACCACACTTTTGAGCCCAAAGCACAAGACTATTGAAGCCACACATTTGAGCCTGTGGACTACACAAAGTGAAGTAAGTTTTGATGATATTATGTGGTAATATATGTATTTAATGTTTAAATTGAAAATATCATACAAATGTATTAATCTAGTTCAGGGGTGTCAAACTCAATTTCATCGCGGGCCACATTCGCATAAAGGTTGGGCGTAATTTCCACTGGGGACAGGGGGGACATGTCCACTTTTCAAATGTGTTTATTATTATTTTTACGCAAGCGGTCATGGTCACGGAGGAGCGTCTGTGTGTGTGTGGCACGAGCGCATTTTGTGTGAGAGAAAGAGAGAGAGAGAGAGAGACAGAGAGAGAGAGACAGAGAGAGAGACTTAGACAGAGAGAGACAGAGACAGAGAGACAGAGAGAGAGACAGAGAGAGTTACGGGGGTTGTTGTTAGCATCTGGTGCTAGCTCGGAGCTAACGGAGATTAGAAGCTGTTTCAACAATAAGGAGATAGAGAGTCCTCTCCTGTCGGACTGAGGCTGAGATAGTTTAGGTGAGGAGGTAAAGGACTCTCTGAGCGATTAGATTGTAAACTTTAGTCTAAGTTATCTCAGTGGGTCTCAAACGGTTTGATCATCTATGTAAACAAATATCTCCATCTATTTAATATAGTTGTTCAAAATAAGTTAAGAAATCATTCCAATGTCAGTAAAAAATTAAAAACACAGTTTAAAAGGGGAGTGATTAGTAAAATATGCATAAATAAAAAGAAAGAATGCAGACTAGGTAAAATAAAGATAGGAGAGAGGAGTATATCAAATACGTGTTATTGGTTGTGGTTACAAAGGGGCGGAACATTTCCGGAAAGTTTCCATGGGAAGTTAAGCTGGGGAATTTTGGAAATATTCGATGCAAAATTAAACAAAAAACATGACATTTCAACAGATTTCTTTTAATTTAAAAAAAAAATGTATTTAAGTAGAACAGAACAAGTTTTAATTATTTTATTGAACAATTATTTGTTTCATTGAAGAACGAAAACAGGAATGTTACTCACCCCCCCCCAACCCCACTCATTAAAAAAATGAACAAAAATGCACCCCCCATCCAAAGATCCCCACAAAGTCCCATTCAAAATGTGGAATGAAAAGAGCCCTTCTCCCTCCAGTCCCATTAAACATGCAAATCTTCCTTCAAGCAATCCTCTGCATTTTTGCTAAACCCTTTCAGTCAACGGGCTCTTCCTGGGCCTCATCAACATCCAACTCTTCCTCTTCCTCTTCAGTGTCACTGTCCAGCCTTGTTGAGGATGGCTCTGTGTCCGGCTCAAAGAGCCTTAGGTTTGCCCGAATGCCAACCAGTGTTTCCACTCTCACATTTGTGAGCCTGTTGCGAACCTTTGTGTGGTCTCAATAGCCATGCAGTAAGCAGTGTGCTATGGCATGGATATTCAAGTGTACTTGAATGGCATCTGTTTGTTTTAGTCAAGATTATGCTAAAATATACTTTCCCCAACTATATTTAAGTTCCCTATGAAGAGCCAACCTTCAATTTTGAAAATTCCCAGTTTATTCCCATAAATTCCCGTTTATTCTCGTTAATTCCCGTGGAAAGTTTCCATCTTTGAAAATTCCCGGAATTTTGCAACCCTAGTTGTGAGCATATTCTAATGTTTTTTTATTATTGAAATATATACAGTTCTGTTTCATATGAGTGTTGAGGGATGTATCCATACATCTCTTAATTTGTGCACCAGATTGATGCCTTTAACTTCAATTTAAAGAAACAAATCTTCCCTGGGGTGCATGCCCCCGGACCCCCCTAGAGGATGTGAGGTCATCACAAATAAAACAGGCTCACATGGATAGGATACTAGATAAATCTGCACACACATTTTTCTTGGATTTTTTAACACCATAGTCCCTAATATATTTGTAGAAGGGCAGGAAATGGAATTAAATCGAGAACAATGTTTCATTGCGGAGGACCCCCTGTTTTGTGTCCCCCCCCACTTCTCAAACCAAAGTTACACCCTGACTCAAAGGGCCAGTTGTAACTATATAAATATATAATATATAAAATAATGTATTATGTTACATTATTGCCTCTGAATTGGATTATTATCGGATAGGATAATAACTTAGTAATTAACAGTGTTGGGCAAGTTACTTCCAAAATGTAATACATTACATATTACGTATTACTGTTACATTACAATATTACTGTCTCTGAAATGTAATGAGTTACACTACTTTTATATTACTTTTGAGTTACTTTCACCAAAATAACTGCAAAAGAATGGCTAGGTATTTTAAATGCTAAAATGTAGTTTAGTGCAGCAACTGTGTAGGTTGAATACTCGATTCTGATTGGTCAATTCCGTTGCTAAGGAGGATCAAGAAAGAGAAAGTAAAAGAGGGTAAAAGACGGAGCGCTGGACATCAGATAAATGAACAGAGAAGACAGACAAGAAGTAAACACTAACAGGAACACGGTATGGGCTCTGCAGTGTTTAAGGCAGGGGTGTCAAACTCAATTTCATCGCGGGCCACATTCGCATAAAGGTTGCACTCAAAGGGCCGGTTGTAACTATATAAATATATAATATATTTATATATAAAATAATGTATTATATTACATTATTGCCTCTGAATTGGATTATTATCGGATAGGATAATAACTTAGTAATTAACTACGTCTGAAAGCAGAAGTCCAGGGCAAATAATTGCAAGTCTCTTCAGTGCGCATGTCACAAAACGAGATGCATTGTGGGACATGTAGTTTATGGGCAACCTGCTTCTGTAAAGTGGCATGTAACCGTATAATGAACGTATTATATTCTCCGCAAGCTCTTGCGGGGCCACATGAAATGAAGTCGCGGGCCGGATTTGGCCCCCGGGCCTTGAGTTTGAGACCCCTGGTTTAAGGACTTGTTAGTGGATCAGAAACTGTGAACAGTGTCACTACCCGATCTGCCCCCCTGCCCGATCTGTACTGCGCATGTGCGAGATGGTCCGCCATATTGGACAACTCCGTACGGCAACTCTACTAGGACACTTGACACAGTGGCTTTTGGCAAAGCACACAAAGACAACTAAAAAAAACGAGAGAGATGAGTTATTGTTATTACAACGTGACTTCACTATTATTTAACAACTCTTTTTATTGGGTTCTTTTATTTGGGGTTAAATATATTGTCAGAATAAGTGAGAAATGGATTTAACTTCTGTTAGACAGCTATCATACTGAATCAATATTTACTCTGAATGTATGCAAAAATGTATGGCATATAGCTGTCTAACAGAAGTTAAATCCATTTCTCACTTATTCTGACAATGTATTTAACCCCAAATAAAAGAACCCAATAAAAAGAGTTGTTAAATAATAGTGAAGTCACGTTGTAATAACAATAACTCATCTCTCTCGGTTCTTTTTCTGCTTTGCCAAAAGCCACTGTGTCAAGTGTCCTATTAGAGTTGCCGTATGTAATTGTCCAATATGGCGGACCATCTCGCACATGCGCAGTACAGATCGGGCAGGGGGGCAGATCGGGTAGTGACAAACAGAGTTGGACAGTGCTGCCGTAAAGTTGTTGTCGCAGTTCCGTTGTGGAACAGAGTTTTTTTTTTTCTTAGCGGAAGAAATACGATCATTTTAAGTCAATAAAATCATTTAAATTAATATTGGGAGTCGATTCCTTAGTTTGTTTAGTATCTGGCCATGTAATAAGCGGGATAATGTGCAGCGACTTGGTCATTATGGGGAAAAGAACACCCTTCAGGCTCATCAAGATCAGCCTGACTGATTACGTAAACACCAGGTTTACTAATCTACCGGAACAATTTTTCTCTGGTGTCGGAATGTCTCACGATGTTAGTGAATTCTTAAAAACAAAACACCATTTCATTTCGGTTTAAAATGAGTTGTAACTGCGTTACTGAGAATTGTAACGGGTAGTATATTACCCAAATTTCATTAGTAATGCGTTACATTACTTCGTTACAGCAAAAAGTAATACATTACTGTAACGCGTTACACCCAACACTTTAACTACGTCTGAATGAAAGCAGAAGTCCAGGGCAAATAATTGCAAGTCTCTTCAGTGCGCATGTCACAAAACGAGATGCATTGTGGGACATGTAGTTGATGGGCAACCTGCTTCTGTAAAGTGGCATGTAACCGTATAATAAACGTATTATATTCTTTGCAACCTCTTGCGGGGCCACATAAAATGAAGTCGCGGGCCGGATTTGGCCCCCGGGCCTTGAGTTTGATACGCCTGATCTAGTTAGATAGCTAGCTGATAAGTATGCTAAATAAGCCATAGCTAGCATCACTTCATTTACCATATGAGGCACTCTTATAACGATGCTAGCTACCTCAAATGTGATGCTGTTTTTTTCTGCCTCCTGCAAGATGTTTTGATCATTCCAGTTGTTTAGCTAGCCTATGTGTATATCTGTTCATGCCATTGCATTAGTATTCTTACAAGCTGTGGTCTTATTTTACAGAAAAATGCCACGTGCGCTATCCGATGTGTGGAGACATTTCACACCAGCTAATGTTCAAGGGAGGTCTGTGTATATGTGTAAATATTGTGATAAGACATATGTGAAGAATGCCACAAAAATGCAGCAGCATATTGCAAAGTGCAAACAAATTCCTCAAGGCCCAAAACATGCAGCAGACAGGAGTTCCACTCCAGGGGAAAATGAATCTGTTTCAGCTGTATCAGAGTCAGATACCCTCTCATCAGCTCCTGGTCCCTCTGGCATCAGAGGATTCTTTGATTTTATGGATGAACCTAGCCAGAGAAAAGCAGATGAGTGTTTCGCTCGTGCAGTCTATGCAACTGGCTCACCCCTGATCCTGCCATCCAATGTGTACTGGAAGACGTTTTTGAATGTTCTCCAACCAGCATACACCCCCCCAACCAGACATGCGCTGTCTACTAATTTGCTGGATGATGAGTTCAACAGAGTGCAAACAAAGGTCAAGCAAACCATTGACAAAGCAGACTGTATTTCAGTCATCTCTGATGGATGGTCAAATATCCGGGGACAAGGAATTATCAACTACATTGTCACCACTCCTCAACCTGTATTCTACAAGAGTGTAGACACAAAGGACAACAGACACACAGGCCAATACATTGCTGATGAGCTGAAAGTGATCATCAATGACCTTGGACCAGAGAAGGTTTTTGCACTGGTCACTGACAATGCAGCCAACATGAAGGTTGCCTGGGCACATGTGGAGGAGACCTACCCTCATATAACAACTATTGGCTGTGCTGCCCATACACTCAATCTTCTCCTAAAAGATATAATGGCATTGAAAACAATGGACACTCTGTACAAGAGAGCGAAGCAAATTGTGAAATATGTGAAGGGCAAACAAGTAGCTTCAGCTACGTATCTGTCAAAGCAAAAGGAAAAGAACATGAGTACTACACTGAAGCTCCCCAGCATCACACGATGGGGTGGCGTTGTCATCATGTATGATAGCCTTCTGGAGGGAAAGGAGTCTCTGCAAGAGATGGCCATATCCCAGACTGCAGGCATGTTAGATGATGTGTTCTGGGAAGGAGTGTCTAGCAGTCTGAAAATCCTCAAACCAATTGCAGCAGCAATAGCGATGATAGTGGGTGATGGTGCCATCTTATCGGATGTCCAGTGTCTTTTTGCAGAACTCAAAGAAGAAATCCAGACGGTCCTGCCCACTTCCCTACTACTGAAAGCAGAGGAAACTGCTGTGGTAAAGTCATTGGAAAAGCGGCGGGAGTTCTGCATGAAGCCGGTGCATGCAGCAGCGTACATGCTGGACCCAAAATATGACATGGGCATACTTTCTGGGGAAGAGATTAACGGTGCCTACGCGGTCATTACAGCCATGTCTGACCACCTGGGTCTTGATAAAGGCAAAGTTCTAGGCAGTTTGGCGAAGTATCGAACAAAGCAAGGCCTTTGGGAAGGGGATGGAATCTGGCAGGCATGCCAGCACATATCTGCAGCCACCTGGTGGAAGGGACTTTGTGGATCTGAGGCCCTTGCACCTGTAGCCTCCATCATCCTCCAAATCCCACCATCATCAGCCGCCTCCGAGCGCAACTGGTCACTGTTTGGGAACACACACACAAAGGTTCGCAACAGGCTCACAAATGTGAGAGTGGAAAAACTGGTTGGCATTCGGGCAAACCTAAGGCTCTTTGAGCCGGACACAGAGCCATCCTCAACAAGGCTGGACAGTGACCCTGAAGAGGAAGACTCAGAGTTGGATGTTGATGAGGCCCAGGAAGAGCCCATTGACTGAAAGGGTTTAGCAAAAATGCAGAGGATTGCTTGAAGGAAGATTTGCATGTTGAATGGGACATTTTGGAGGGAGAGGGGCTCTTTTCATTTCACATTTTGAATGGGACATTTTGGAGGGAGAGGGGCTCTTTTCATTTCACATTTTGAATGGGACTTTGTGGGCTTTTTTGGATGGGGGGTGCATTTTTGTTCATTTTTTAATGTGTGGGGTTGGGGGGGATGAGTAATATTTAACTCACCATTCATGTTTTTGTTCTTCAATGAAACACATAATTGTTCAATAAAATAATTAAAACTTGTTCTGTTCTACTTACAAATAAATCTGTTGAAATGTCATGTTTTTTTAATTGTATCATTTTGCATGGATGTTTTCTTATAAGATAAGATAAGGTAAAATGGACCTGTGTTAATCCCCGTGGGGAAATTCAGTTGTTCAAGCAGCAACAGGGTAAGGGTGAAAAACAGGACAGCACAGATTCACACAGATTAATACAATACAAAATAAAATCAAGATAAAAATTTAAATAATAATAAAAAAACTATGAAATAAGAAATGAATAAAAAATAAGAATACAAATAAATGTCAGCATATATACATATTTGGTCATGTAAACTATGAAGCACGATATGAGTTAAAGTGTAAATGGACATATAGGGACATATATATATACATATTAGATATTAGATATATTAACATGGGTTGTGGAAACAGTGTGTATTTATGTCCAGTAATAGTTTCACATTATTAACCCCTTGTTGTGCAGCCTGATGGCTACCGGCACAAAGGACTGTCCGAGGCGCTTGGTGCTGTGTCGTGGAGGGATGAGTCTGTGGCTGAACTACTCATCTTCACTAGCTCTGGAGTGGGTGGGAGGGGTTCTCTAGGATACTGTCGAGCTACCTCCTCGTCCTCCCCTCTGCCACCTCCTCCATATTGTCCAATTGTACTCCAACTACAGAGCTAGCCTTCCTCACGAGCTTGTTCAGCCTGCCAGTGTCCCTTGTGTTTGTGTTTCCACCCCAGCACACCACGGCAAAGAAGAGCACACTGGCCACCACAGACTGGTAGAACATCTGCAGCAGCCTCGTGCACACATTGAATGACCTGAGCCTCCTCAGGAAGAACAGCTTGCTCTGTCCCTTCCTGAAGAGAGCATCAGTGTTGTCTGACCAGTCCAGTTTATTGTTCAAGTGCATTCCCAGGAACTTGTAGCTGTTCACCACCTCCACATGACAAAACAAAATGTTTATATTTATGCTTGGATATGATACAATTCGATTACATTACCTTCAATTCCCAGTTAGTTCCCATAAATTCCCATAATTCCTATTATTCCCATGGAAAGTTTCCAATATGGAATATTTCCAATATTCCCCAGCTTAACTTCCCATGGAAATTTACTGGAAATTTCCCGGAAACTTTCCGCGCCTTTGCAACCCTAGTTATAATTAGTTCTTAACTCAAGTCCTAAAGGAGGCCTAGGGTTGAGTACGTAGCGACTGTTTATTTCAAGCACAGAGAAATAACATAATAAATCTTATTGTGTATTATTACTTAGTCCTTATTTCATGGTTTCCCTGAGACCCTCCTCCCAAAAGGCTCCGCTGGGATTCGAACCCAGGATATCCTGTTTACTAAAAACCAGTATGCTACTTCTGATATTCTTTAGCACGATGCATATTAGTGCAACTTGACTTTTGTGACTGAATATGTCCAGATATTTTAATTGGTAGGATTTTACTCGATCAAATCAATGCTTGTTAATTAATAACCTAATTTGCTCCTGTGGGTATTGTCCATAATAACTGTTACATGTCTAATATGTGTAATATGTAAAGCGCTTTGAGCACCTGGAAAAGCGCTCTAATAAATTGTATTTATTTGTATGAATGATTCATTATAGCATGTAAATAAAAAAAGGGAAACTTTCAACTTAATATTATTTATACACCCTTTCACCAAGAACAGGCTGCATGTTGAATATAGTTGATTTGAATGCTAATGTGCTTAATGTAAATATTAATCGTGCATTTGTATATTAATTGAGTATTCCTTTTTGGCTGTGCACTATCTGTATAATCTATTAGATGTATTCTATGTGTTAGTGTTCTTATACATTGCTGTGTATTTTGTGCCATGCTTATACAACAGTTACATACATGTTGTTGCTTCAACTAATATCCTGCAGATGTCGCTGTTCAACTTTAAGGGATATTTGATTTCTAAAAGAATATTATTATTGAGCTATTGTCAAGTTAATATCTACATTTGTTTTTAATTAACCTGTATTGGGTACAACATATAGGACTATCACAATACCCACATGTTTTGTGATAAATATATATATTATTTGTATTCTTGTTTATTTGTGTTTTCACCTTTTTAATTGTATTTTTACTTATGTAATGGTTTGTGAGCTGAGTTGTGTGATTTTTGTATTGTTTTTATTTGTCTGTGCTTTACAAATAAAGCTGTATTGTAATCCGAAGGTATTTACAGATGCTTTGTTGACATGTCACATCCTCATTTAGTGCCACGTTTAATGGTGATATGTAATGGTTAATATAGTTGTTATCTTCCCCATTCACCTGTAGTATCTCCCATTACACATTTACAGAGTTTACTTATATAGAACCATTTACTACCCACCTGACTGTTGTTATGGTTTCGCTGTCGTAAAACTGCTGTAAGTCAGACTGTTGTGACAGGAGACGTGACGTTAGCGCGTGCGTTAGCCAGCTCAGCTAGCCGTTTAAAAAACTGTCAGTTGAGCGGAGGATGTAACGCTTATTTTATACAATAAATACAAATACACCGTTAAGATACCAGCGTTAGTTTAGCAGACACCGACTGGATGGGAAGGGAGACACAGGAGGAAATCCCTGGTGTTAAGTCTGTGGGGAAACCATTTTATTTGTCAATGAATCCGTCACATTCTCTCGTCTTGTTAGCTTGATCAAGCTACGCGCTAGCTCTGTGTCGTGGATGGGTTCTCCTCACAAGTTACTCCTGGAAGAAACCTAGCGAACATCATGGACACTGCAGAAGAAGGTAAATGACTGTAAAGTGTTGCTTTTCAATGCTTCCCAGCGGGGGGATTTACTGTGGTTAGCTTCGTGGAGTAGCTTGGCCTGCTAGTGGTTCACTTAGCCGAATAGCATAGCTTAATATGCTGTAGTGGTTCAGGTTAAATCAGGGAAATGGCTGTTGTTTTGAATGCACACAATGCAGGGTAAAGCAACAGTGTAATAGAGATTGTCGAAAGGACTAGACGAAACTGGTGATGTCATCAGTCTCGTGATGTATCAGAATCAACAACAAATTACAAATACTAAATTCAAAGTTGAGCTGAGAGCTGTGCAGATTTAAAAAGAGGTGCAGAAATGTGCAACATGGTGTGCAGGATTTGGATTGTTAAAAGGAACAAGTTGTATATTGTGCATTCATGTAATGCATCATATTGTTATGGTGTGTGTATATGTATGTGACCATATTGATGACAAGCCAGTGGAACTAGATGTATGCAAAGTTAGCAGCTTATCTGAATATCAGTCGTTACCATCAGAGTCCTGAAAGAAACCTGCATATCAACTCGGTCCCTTTACTCTCTGTCGCATCAGCCTGTCGCACTCCTGACACAATTAGACCTGTTTAATTCTGTGTATTCACTGTTTTACAAACTGAACACCTCAATACATATATACAATACACAATATTAATATACATTCATTACATTACAGTGTGTTTATTACTTGTCATGCTTATAGAAATGTACTAAATTAGTGTTTACATCTACAAACATAAATTCATTACTTTCATTTTGCATATATTTACATTTTGGGCTTAAGAATTTAATGAGATTTAAATGATATCACAAAATGGACTACAGCTGCAACGATACATTGATAGACAGAAAAAAGATCACAAACTTATTTTTATTTTGTTTATTTTGAATAGATCCCAAAAATGCAGATGTTGCTGTTCTGAGCTTCTGCTTTGTTCAAAATAATCATCAGATTCATTATAACGATAATAAGAAGCCCTAAATTAGACTACAGTGCAAATGGCTAAAGCTTAATATGTGTTAAAGGCCAGTACGTGCCAAATAAACCATCCTGAATGAAGTGTTGTGCTTCACTGTAGTTGTTGTTCATATGATAATGAAAAGCTTGAAACTAACTCACATGTTTTGTGTGTGTGCAGCGGATATTTGTCGCGTGTGCCGCTCTGAGGGGACCCCCGACAAACCCCTCTACCACCCTTGTGTCTGCACTGGCAGTATCAAGTTTATCCACCAGGAATGGTAAGTGTGTTTCTTTATGTCCCACATTACTCCCCCTTTGTGTGGTATTTGCATGGTGAAAACTATACGAGCCCCTGCAGGTATTTTGAAGAGCGTGCTGTTTTCTCATGTGTGAATATCACTGGTTATAGAGGGTCAGGTGAGGGGAAACCCCCCAGGCAGAGGCCAGGCCTGGATTGTTCTGTGCTGATTGTTGAACATTGGTGTGTTTTAGTTTGCATCCACCCCACAAAGTTTAGAATAACAGTCTATTGTGTATGCATTGTGTAGTTGTGCTGACTATACGCAGGCTGAAGCTAACCTTAGCTATTAATTTAAAAAAGAATTGCTCAAACCCAAAACAACTTTTAGGTAGCAGACACACCAGAATGAGTTTCTTCTTTTTAGCTGATCATCTGCTTCATCATAAGGCCAGTTTCTCACAGATGAGCATCTGTTGTGGACCTATGATACTGATCACTGCACAACTTATTTCTGAACGGAACAAACTGCATTAAAACAATTGCAAAGTATAATTGTGTTTGGTCTTGGGGAGATGACTCCTGGTGTCAAACCTTGTGAACGTTTGAAGATCAGAGTGGAAACATTAACAGCTGTTCGTCTGCACCGAGAACGATCACTTTTAAACATAACTGTAAATACAACGATGTAAGCATCCACAATGAATGATGAACAATGAATAATGTTCTGTAAACAATCGCGCCAAACACGCAGTCCTCTCCAGCTGTGTCAGAGCCCAACAATAGATATCGATGACTGTTGCTGCTGTACGTTGGGCAAAAAGAATAATTAAGATAAGGTTATGAAAAAAGAGAATCAAAAACAGCCTTGGTGCAGCACCATGGATGCAGGAAGACATAGATATGTTGTTGACTGAAGAAGGAGGCTTGACTTTATTTCCTTTTTTGATGTTATTTGATTGGCTGTCAGTGATGTAATCCCATTATTGTTTGCCACTTGCTATTTCCTCACTGTTGTAGCGTTTGGACTCTTTAATTAAAGCCTGACTGATTTTTAAAATGCTATAGTTAAAGTTACAGGTATTGGTGTGGATGACCTTTAACCCTGTTCTGTCTTTAATGCTGTCATATGTGTTGGAATTAGCTGTTGTAATGACTCTGTAACCCAGATGGTAATCCTCGAGTCTAGTCATGTTCACAACAAGTTATTATGGGCGACAAAAAGTGCAAATCAGCTCAGAAATAATTGATACCTTTCCATGTTCATCAGAGATAGAATGACTAAAACGTTAAGTGCTCTGAGTCAATGTTTTCATCACATCATATCCGATTACTACAGACTCACAATGTTGACATCCCAGACTCTGGTTGTTTCTATTGATCTGTGCTCTGCAGTAGTTCTCCATTACTATTGATCACAAACAGTAAAAAGGCCAAGCAGCTCATGTTTTATCGTTTTAAATCGTGTTCTACTTCTGACTAAATGTTGCTTTACAGTTTGGTCCAGTGGCTGAAGCACAGCAGGAAGGAGTACTGTGAATTATGCAAGCACCGATTTGCTTTTACACCAAGTGAGTAGTCGTGGCCTTGATGTATCATCCATTTGAATATATCACACAGCCCAAAGTGTCCTAAACAAGCCTCCCAGATGTAGTTCTTTTGTGTCAACATGTAAATATTAATGAAACGTTCTGGTTCACTCTGTCCCCGTCTGCTCCTCGTCAGTCTACTCCCCGGACATGCCCTCACGTCTGCCCATCCAGGACATCTGTGCCGGGCTGCTGACCAGCGTGGGCACGGCCATCCGATACTGGTTCCATTACACACTGGTGGCCTTCGCTTGGCTCGGGGTGGTTCCTCTCACTGCATGTAAGTAGTACACACACACAGCAAATATAAACAGAGTGTGTGTGCTCAAGGTCATGGTGATTGCCTCCTTTATTCTTGATAAGAACTCGCTTCAGTTGTGTTTTATTATCTTAAGGAGAGACACTACAGATGAATAGGATCAAACATTTCACTAATAAATATCACAATGAAACTTCACTCATTTCCCCTCAACAAAAACATATTTCTTGCTGGATTTAAATGTCTTTTTTTTTTCACTTACATTTTTATAAACGTACAAAACCACATGTAGTTCATTATACAATTGAATTAAAGACCCATGGAAAAAAGAAGAAAATAGAAATAATAATAAAAACAAGCAGACAACAACAGTAACAACGAGAGAGACACACACACACTAGTGTCTAGGGGTATGATTCTCGCTTGGGGTGCGAGAGGTCCCGGGTTCAAATCCCGGACGAGCCCCCATTTGTTACGTTCCCTCCAAAATCTAGGGGTACGAAGGGGAGTAACAAAACACAGAACGACCAGGCACGAGAAAAAAGAGAGGAAACTGATCTCTTTTTTCACAAAATGAGATTTAATCCACCAATGATAGACAAACAGGTCCCACACAGAGACCAAGTCGCCGTGCTGCACCCGTGCAGCCAGAGGAGAAAGGGAGAGGCCACTGCAGCCTTCCTCAGGTCCTTTAAGGAGGCCCTGATTGGGGATTGGGAGCACCTGGGGACAATCAGGCTGCACCTGGAGAATCAGAGGGAGAGAGAGAAAAACACACACACCCACACACACTACGGCATGTAACACACACACAGACAGACACACACACAGACAGACACACACACACACACAGACACACACAGACAGACAGACAGACAGACAGCATTATAATCAGTTGATATCTAAAGCTCTCTACCTTATGTTTAATGCGGATTAAAATGTCTTCTAAATGTGCAAATCACACAATTGTTATGATCTTTTCTTTGTCTCAGGTCGAATCTACAAGTGTCTGTTTACCGGCTCTGTGAGCTCTCTTTTGACACTGCCGCTGGACATGCTCTCCACGTGAGTGACGATACCACTATTCTCCTATAACACTACTAAAGTGTCTTTGAATGTTTCTTAAAGTGTTTCTGTGTGTGCTCCTGCAGAGAGAACCTGCTAGCAGACTGTCTACAGGGCTGCTTCGTGGTCACCTGCACGCTGTGTGCGTTCATCAGCCTGGTGTGGCTCCGGGAGCAGATCGTCCACGGTGGAGCTCCGCAGTGGTTAGAGCAGCACCAGATGCCTCCGCCTCATGCAGCCGGACAGGCCAATGAGGTACTTTTTGTGGTGGAAATTCTACACTTAATCACCTAATTGTAAGAAAAGAACAAATATACAAGCTTAAACCAAAGTTGTGTTATTTAATAAAGAGTTATAGCATTTATTTAACAGAATCAATCGTATTCCCAGCTGGAAAGGGCAGTCCTGCACGAGCAAATAGTGCCAAGATCTGACCAACAGAAAATACAATCACTCAAAACACACAGAAAGGGGAAGGTCTCAGCAAGATGACAGGAAGTGTTGGCCAGATGGTTGAAACGTGCATACATGGTAATTACAAACCTGATATCAATCCTAACAATGGGCGAAGAGAGAGCCTTCTGTCTGTTCTAAGGAAGTGAATATTAAGTAGCTTGATGTCAAACTAGAACAAATCAAACCAGAGAAGGAAGTTATATACTTAAGGCGAGACACGGCAGGCAAAAACATCGTTTTTCATGCACTGGTCAATTTTGAGATTTTGTGCTATTTTGATTCCACAACATGATTTCTTTCAGGCTTTTGGAAGGAAAATGTACAAAATACACATTTAGGTGTTTATTTGTACTATAGTTTGTCTATTTGCGTCTGTAGATTTCTCCTGAATTCACCAAAAGTTAGCATTCTAACGTAACATAAAGTACCGCGACCGCTGTTTGCACCATGTCTTCAGAGGTATCGTTGGAAAGCTCCGTCTCTCCTGCACAATCTCATCGGATCCAAATATGGTCATTTCACAACACTTTTAATAACTGATGGGATTCATTCTTACCTGACATACCATTTCTCAACCACACGATAAAACGATCTCCATGATACATTTATCAGATGTATTTTCGATAAAGTCTACACACACTCAAAGATCTCGCCATGTTAAAGCCGTGCACCCTCTTCCCCCCCCCCCCACTTCAGGCTCCCGCTGCGGGGCAGGGAGCAGCTGATGAGCCCCCTGCAGCCCAGCCGGCCCCCGCTGATCCTCCAGCCCAGAACCAGGCCCAGCCCGAGCCCCCTGATGTTCCTCCAGACCAGGTGGAGGACCCCGAGCTGGAGGAAGAGGAGGGGGCAGCAGCTGAAGATGCAGACCCCAATAATGGAGCACAAGGTTGGAATCTGTGTACAGTTTTATTATTACGCTGCTGTGTTTACACAATACAGTCCTATCTTATCTGATAGAGAAGTAACTTTAGGGTTAAGCTCATTTCTGACAGGTTTAGTTGTTATTTGTTGTCCCTACTCAGGAGCTGTATAAATAAGTGTATGAATAGAATTCATTTTGAGACACGTAATAGCATAAACACACACATTGATTATGTTAAAGAACACCGTCTGTCTGTCCACCACGATTTTCAATATGTTCCACTTGGTCAGGTTTTATGGAGATATGCTGACATGCCTTACCTTACATCATAAAATAACACTTGACAAGCAGTGCAGTTAATGAACCAAATTAAATGGCAAAGATTTCCATGAATTATCCAAAGGGTTTTGTCTTTTTGCAACATCAAACCACAGGGTTTATGGAAATGCACTTGACAAACACAAGCAGAAACGCTACTACTGGCATAAAAGCATATCATTCATTGAAGGAGATTTAACGATGTGTCAAATTGCGCCCCGTAGCTCTCACATCACACTCATTTCTTTCAGATTTTCCGTGTTAATGAACTGACTGTGCAGCTAGGCAAAACAGGCAGATAATGAATTGTGATTGTATTACGCATCAGTCTAGCTGTGGGGGGTCAAATGAATGCAGAGAAACACTCACAGGTTGTTTCGCAAACAAATGTCCCCGGAAAAGCATAAATAATGTCATGGCAACATTGATCTTAAGTATTGATTTACTTTGTTGTTGCTTGGAACATTTGGCCAGTCAAACACAATCATAGTTCCCGTATTGTTGCAGCTCTGTGTGAATTAGTATTTAAAGTGAATGTTTCTCTCTGTAGATGATATGAACTGGAATGCGTTGGAGTGGGACAGAGCGGCGGAGGAGCTCACCTGGGAGAGGGTAACTCATAAATACTCAATTTACAACTTTTGCTTTTGTGTTAAACATCTATGACCCTAAATATCTCTCTGTTCCCCTCTTAGATGCTTGGCCTGGATGGCTCACTGGTGTTTCTGGTAAGGGTTACATTCCTAATAGTCAGTATGTTTTATACACGTTTGTATGATGAGTGTATAAAGTCGTTATTTCTCTTGTAGGAGCATGTTTTTTGGGTGGTTTCTCTGAACACACTCTTCATCCTGGTCTTCGGTGAGTAGACTGAAACAAAGAGTTATCATACACTTATTATCATTAACACAATGAATAATATTAATACATTACAAAGTGCCAGATATATGTAAAAACTGTCATCAATGAGTAAAACAACTCAAATGTAAAAATGAATTACTGTACGATTTATGTTCCTGATCCTTTTTTGATACTACTGTCTCTATATATAGGAATAGTGCAGGTTGATTGCTTTTGTCTTTCCTATTTTAAATGCTTATGCTTGTTCCCCTCATTCAGCGTTTTGTCCTTACCACATCGGGCACTTTTCTGTCGTGGGTCTCGGCTTCGAGGAATATGTAAGAAACTGCTCTCATCAACTTATCACTATCTTATCACTATCATGTCTCTTGAACTGTGATTTCTTGACTTCCCTTTTCTTCAGGTCCAAGCCTCCCACTTTGAGGGATTAATCACGACCATCGTGGGCTACATCCTGCTCGCCATGACGCTCATCCTCTGTCACGTATCCTTCTGTCTACTGAAATATAAGCTGTTACCTATTATGCAAAATCCTCTTCTTCATGTCTCTTCTACATCAACATGTGTCCCCTCTTCTTCATGTCTCTTCTACATCAACATGTGTCCCCTCTTCTTCATGTCTCTTCTACATCAACATGTGTCCCCTCTTCTTCATGTCTCTTCTACATCAACATGTGTCCCCTCTTCTTCATGTCTCTTCTACATCAACATGTGTCCCCTCTTCTTCATGTCTCTTCTACATCAACATGTGTCCCCTCTTCTTCATGTCTCTTCTACATCAACATGTGTCCCCTCTTCTTCATGTCTCTTCTACATCAACATGTGTCCCCTCTTCTTCATGTCTCTTCTACATCAACATGTGTCCCCTCTTCTTCATGTCTCTTCTACATCAACATGTGTCCCCTCTTCTTCATGTCTCTTCTACATCAACATGTGTCCCCTCTTCTTCATGTCTCTTCTACATCACCATGTGTCCCCTCTGTTTAAAGAGACTCTGGAAGTTTCAGGAACAAAGATTCTCTCTCTTTTTGTCCTGATCCATTTATATAAAAACCTGCCTGAAAATGAGCTGATCAGATTTTGGCCACTTTGTGATGTCATAACGATGTTTTGGCTTGTGTAACCATTAGCCAATCAGCAACCAAGGCAGGGTGTCCGCGGGGTCTTAAAAAGTATTAAAAGTTGATAAATCAATTTAGCGAAAATTAAGGCTATTAAAAAGTATTAAATGGCATTTTCCAAGGTATTACATTTTGTAGCTTGTTTCCAATAAGTATATAAATTGTCCAAAGAGGTTGTATTCTACAGTCTGCCTGAATGTAATCATTGCGTAGGTGTGTAGTTTATTTATGGCATCCTGTTGGATTTGACGTCAACAGGACATCGCACGCTCACTGCTTGATAGCGCGCGAAGGCCCGTTTACGCCGGTTGTTAAACAACATCGTTATGGGGAAATGCAAGTCTGCGTCCAAATGGTTAGAAGATAAGGAGGAAGGACAATCAATACTGTATATAGTCAATGTGAGGTAAAGTGTGTCGCCAAGGTAACCGGTTAGAACTCAAAGTGGCGATGAGGTCTTAAAATGTATGGAAAGGGTCTTAAAAGGAATTACATTTGACTTCAGGATTCCTGCTTATACCCTGCAAGGTAACCCCCCCCACCCCCCACCTTATCACCTGAATCTCCTCCTAGAGCACCATTGTGTTCTTTTTAACCAAATAGAGCATGGCTCCTTATTTTCATCTAAAGTAACAGACAGAGAATCAGCACTTTTGGAACAGGGCTGAAACAGAGGGGATTATGGGATGCTGCAATGATCTGTTTGGTGTTTCAGCCAATCAGAGACATGTTCTGTATATATCTGAGACCTTTACTATATTGATGAAAAACAGTATAATAGGGGACCTTTAAATGTGTGAGCAGTGTGTGAGCAGTGTGTGAGCTGTGTGTGAGCAGTGTTGATCCTTAACAGCGGTTTCAGGGACTCGCTGCTCTGGTCCGGTTTCAGAGATCTCGACGGCTCCTGGGAGTCTGCTATATCGTTGTCAAGGTAACGCCTCTAATTAGTGCAACTCTGCACCTTCCTCTGTGGAAACAGAAAAAACCCACTTACGGAGATTTACTAGCTGAATATCACACTGAGTCTTTGCAATCACACAGAAACTGAACAACCCTATGACCCTAAATAATATGAATACAAGTCAGGCTTCTTTTTAAGTGGACATGCTGTGTTCCTGGTTTCACCCATACAAATCTGTCTGTCTGTCTCTCTGTCTCTCTGTCTGTCTCTCTGTCTCTCTGTCTGTCTGTCTCTCTGTCTGTCTGTATCTCTGTCTGTCTGTCTGTCTGTCTGTCTCTCTGTCTGTCTCTCTGTCTCTCTCTCTGTCTCTCTGTCTCTCTGTCTCTCTGTCTGTCTGTCTCTCTGTCTGTCTCTCTGTCTGTCTCTCTGTCTGTCTCTCTGTCTCTCTCTCTGTCTCTCTGTCTCTCTGTCTCTCTGTCTGTCTGTCTCTCTGTCTGTCTCTCTGTCTGTCTGTCTGTCTGTCTGTCTCTCTGTCTGTCTCTCTGTCTCTCTGTCTGTCTGTCTCTCTGTCTGTCTCTCTGTCTGTCTCTCTGTCTGTCTTTCTCTCTGTCTGCCTGTCTGTCTGCCTGTCTGCCACACACTATGAATCATATTCCCTCATTAGCATTTTTAGTTTTTTGATATATAACAATCAATAGTGGCCGTTTTCAGACTCAGACTTTTTTGTCCTGTAAGGAAATCAAAGCAATGTTTTGAAGCAGCTGGGTTCATGTTTCTCCATATGCTGATAAGTGACTCTTATCTCTCCATTACAGGTCTCTCTGCTGGTTGTTGTGGAGATCGGTGTTTTTCCACTCATCTGTGGCTGGTGGCTGGACATCTGCTCTTTAGTAAGTCTCTCCTTCTCCTTTGTGTTCTTATGCAGTTAGTAGAAATCAGTTTAAAGTACATGCCAAGAATATAATCACAAAATACAATAAAAGCACATCCACAAACAGAGCAGAGTACAGCTTATTCCAAATAGATTAACCATATTCAACATTTCCTCACAGCAGTTCAGTCTTTTCACTTTCCATAGCTTCTGCAATGTCCCCATTTTGAAATGCTGTTTTTAGTTGAAACAAATATGCAACATATAGGCCATCTTAAATATGCATCAAATGTAAATAGACTCAACAGCTGGTACATAAGTGAACAATACGTATCTTTGTCCTTCCTCCTGCACGTACTCTCAGACACTAATCAAGCTTTATCTAATTTAAATCTGCTTATCATATGGTATGTGCAAATGTTATTCATCACAGCACATTTCCCACTGTGCATTCATTTAGCACAGACAATAAATTAGCATGAACGCTGAATCTGAATTGGTTTAAGTGTATTCTTTGTTTACCGTTTAACTTACTGCAGGAGATGTTTGATGCGTCACTGAAAGACAGGGAACTGAGCTTCAAATCTGCGCCGGGCACCACCATGTTCCTGCACTGGCTCGTGGGAATGGTCTACGTCTTCTACTTCGCTTCTTTCATCCTCCTCCTGAGAGAGGTACGATCCTGAGTTTGCTTTCGTATGTAGCTGCTTGCTGTATGTACCCTTTTATCCAAAGCGATTGACAATAATTGTATTCCACCATGAAGATACAAGCCGTTGTTATTGCTAAGAAGAAAACACTTGATGACTGTCGGTTACATTTTTGTGATTTCAAATATATATATATAACATGAACTGCTGCTGTGTCCGTCAGGTGCTGAGGCCGGGAGTGCTGTGGTTTCTGAGAAATCTGAACGACCCAGACTTCAACCCGGTGCAGGAGATGATCCACCTGCCGATCTACAGACACCTGCGGCGCTTCATCCTGTCCGTGGTGGTGTTCGGCTCCATCGTGCTGCTCATGCTGTGGCTGCCCATCAGGCTCATCAAACTGCTGATGCCCACCTTCCTGCCCTACAACGTCATGCTCTACAGGTGACCAGCCGCCGTAACAAAGTTAAAGGTCACTTAGCAGCGGTGAACTGCGGGAGAACTGTGAGATCATAAAGTGGTCCAGCAGGCTGATTGGTGAGCCACAGCTAAACCTGGAGACCCTGTCCCTCAGGCAGTGACAGCGGTTATCCAGCTCCATATTAGACGATGACTCCCACCCTCTGCACTCACAATTTAAGCTTCTTGCTTCGGGCCGGAGGTTAGTCGTCCCAAGGAGTAGAACGAAGCGGTATTAAAAACAGTTTTATCCCAGCAGCTATTGCACAAATTAACACATCATAGGAGCGTCACACAGATGCCTATTTATTTATGTATGAATTTTGAATGTCCATGTTTGTACTAGTGCTATATTTTGAGATTTGACGGAGCAGGGTGTACTTTGATTAGTTATTTTATTAGCGATGTGTCTGTTGTCTGTGTTTGCTTTTAGAGTGTGTCTTTTTATCTGCACACTAAATCAACCTACAGGTACAAATAAAGAACCTAAACCTGAACCTGAACTGCTGCTTTGAAATGGTGTTAAAAGCCACTTCCACCTCAGGGCGTTAAAAAATCAACATCTAGCTCATTTTGAACAAAAGAGGAAGTATTGGCCCTATTGGCAACATGAATGACGGTTAAAACCAAGAGTTGCAGGGACTTGTGTTGTAAGAAACAACTGAAACTGAATTCAAATGAACTGTTCAGTGTTACCAAATACCATACACGGGCATATTAGAGCCATTGTAGGTTTAAAAAAAAAAAACAGCCAGGAAGGCGGGTTATATTGCAAAGACTAACAACTATCAGAAAAAACCTGATGTTCTCTGAGATCAAAGCCACACATACACTACCAGTCAAAAGTTTGGACACCTTCTCATTCAAATAGATTTATACTGAAGACGTCAAAACTATAAAAGAACACATATGGAATTATCTAGTTAACAAAAAAGTGTTCTTTCATAGTTTTGATGTCTTCAGTTTCATGTCCAAACTGTTGACTGGTACTGTACATCCCCCGGCTCCGTTATTAGTTTTCTTCTGCTTTTTATTTGTACCTACACGCTGTAGAATGTTCTTTTCTGACCCTGTGCCCCTCCTCTCCCCTCAGCGACGCCCCGGTCAGCGAGCTGTCGTTGGAGCTGTTGTTACTTCAGGTGGTTCTCCCCGCTCTCTTGGAGCAGGGTCACACTCGGCAGTGGCTCAAAGGCCTCGTCAGAGCCTGGACCGTCAGCGCTGGATATCTACTGTAAGTCAACACATTTTCTAACCGAGCCCGTGACATTTCTCACATTGACCTTTCCGTAACCAATCAAGGTTTCAAGGCTTTTATTGTCATGTGTGCATCGCTACAGTGTAGATATGACGATGACAATCTTAGGTCACAGGCTCCTCCAACAGAGCAACACAATAACACAGATCAAATAGTTAAAATAGTGCAAGGAGAGTCTAAATACAAGTAATTGGAATATGATATATTAGATAAATCATTTGTAAGTTGCAAACAGATGAATGTTATGAATGTTCTTTCAAAAGTTCAGAATCGGAATACCTTTATTAGTCAATAAAAAATAACCCAAAGACAGCTCAACTTTAACTAAGAAGCATGCATAATTTTTTTTTTTAATAAAAAACGACCCAATTAAAACAATTAAATCACATGTTTCCCTCCTCAGAGACCTCCACTCCTACCTCCTCGGGGAACAGGAGGACAATGAGGGCAACCAGCCTGTGAACAACAACAACAACAACCCCCCTCCTGCTCACCACAACAACAACAACAACCCCGCCCCAGCTGTTGGCGAGGGCCTGCACGCAGCCCATCAGGCCATCCTGCAGCAGGGGGGGCCTGTTGGGTTCCAGCCGTATCACAGACCCCTCCGCTTCCCATTCAGAGTGAGTCCTGGGGTTTTTACATTTATCACTGCAGATTCTACAGTGTCTCTACTATCCGATTCTTATATGCATAGATTCCAGGTTACATACTCTGATAATGCTCAAAACTAATTTAATGTTAGTATAACTCTAGAAGGAAGTTCAAGGATTTTCCCGCCTAGTATTTATGGTTTTCTCCCCAAACATCGCAGTATGCTAAGGCTGTAGGTACCACTTAGTGTACATCTAAGGCTGTACCACTCCCAGTTA